TAAAATACTTAATTGCCCAACTAAAGCTCAGGTGATATTTTCAGACCGAAGGATCTCTAACACCTCTCGTCTGTGTGTCTCCTTTTACCTTTTGCCCTTTCAACTTTTTTAGAAACAAATAGGTTATTACAGAAAAAAATCATACAAAGCATACTGTGTTGAACAAAATATGTTGTTCACAGCATTTGTTAAAAAAATAAATGACTTCACAGTAAACACTTCTCTTTGAAGTATTTCAACACTTTCTTCATAATTCAAGCAAGAGGTCAAGGTCATGATCAATGAGCCTGACGAAGGATGGCTCACAAGAGGGATTAACATATATGTTTATCATAAGAATACTAGTTTACCAAAAAAATCTTGTTGTTGAAGAACGCCTCTGCTTTGATTTATAATAAAGCAAGAATCCTTAAGTTATCTTAAACAAATTTAGCTGCACAAAATTGTAGCAATACTCAAGCTTTTTTTCCAAACATTCAAAGATAAGATTTATCTTTGCAAAATGAGCTATTTAGAAAAAAAATGACTTTCTTTTATCCCATGACCCTGAATAGGCAAAGGTACATGTAGCTTAAAGACGCTGAGACAAATAGGTTTATCTTTTTTACAGGAGCTGGTTGGATCTTGCAATGCAACATCGTGTAAAGAGGAATGCGTGGCTTTGAGTAGCGGAAAACCGTTTTGCGTAAATGGCAGTAAGTAATAAATGAATAGTTTAACTGTTAAAAAATCCCATCAAAGAACAAGGTACAGTTATAGGCTTTATGACCCTGTGAATTTCTGAAAAACTAAGACTGCCTCATTTTAGTTACATGTAACAATGCTTGGAATATTCTAGAGACGCTTGTCGATAGCAAGTCTATCAAAAATGACACAATTTTCTTCCAGTCAATGCATTATGACGCCAACGAAAGCGTCAATTCCCTGTTCTAAAAAGAGTCTACAGAAACCGCCAATTTTTGATGCTATTTTTCAGTATTTATTATAGAGTGCAACCTCTGATCTAAATTAAACGACTAATAAATCATAGAACTATTTCTGAAGATTACAAGACATCATTTTTGTAGAGCAGAGGGTGTGCTTATACTATTTTTCTTCTCTAAAAGTACTTAAATATACCTAATTACATTAACTTTAGGAACATAACAATACCATTAAGTCCTTGTTCCAAGACCTGGCGTTTAAGGAGAAAAAAAAATAGGAAATGAAAATACTACGTCTTTACTTTATTTTGATCTTTCAAATGAAAAATAAAGTCAATAAACTGGTATATCTACAGGCCCATTTTAATGTATAAAGTGAACCGAGCTCTTTGAAAAGCTTCTTAGAAAACGAATTCAACCGTATTTTGTCTTAATCTTCAGCAAAAACTTTTTATTAATTATTTCGGCTGAGTGTAAAGTGTTATCAGTAAAATTTACTAAAAAAAATCTTGATTAAATATTAAATTTTATTGCTTGTCGTTGTAAAATAAAACAATATTCACGCTTGCCTTACTAAAACAATATGTTGCAGATTAATTGAAGATATTTAATACATTCCCATCTCATTTTCACTAAATGAATAAATAAGTAAAGAATTATACGTCATTTCAAATTTGAAAATGTGTTTCCAATAGTGCATTTATTTTAGTTCTTTATGTTAAACCAAAAACGTTTTAGAAGAAATATGAATCTAAAAAATGTATACTTTTGTTGAAAATGAATTACAATATGTTTGGTTACACACATCTAAAAAAGACTTTTTGCAATATTTCAATTGCATTTGCCTAAATTTGTATAGAAAGTCTCTGCATAGGGTACTGTATGAGTGTTTAATGAATTACCCAGAAGTGAAATTGGAAGATTTTTTTTTTCTTTTGAAGTATCCTAGGTAGTACGAAAAAAAAAATGAATATTGAATACTGTTCCATTTATGCTACTATATTGCAGAATGTCCTACATCGTGGAAGATAAACGGGGAGAAGAAATATTGTTTTGTGAATAATCATCTTAAGTGGCATGCTGCCAAGGTATGTCATTAAAGGTTCCAGTAGAGTTGTGACTTTCTTTGACTAGTTATTCAAAACTAACAAAAAAAGAAAGAGCTCCGATAAATTTATAAAAGAAATGCATTAATTCAATCTGTGAAGTGCCATATCCGTTATTTCTACATATGAATGTGACGCCTGCGAAGGGCTTCAAAGAAATATCTCTTTTCGGCACAGTGATCATTGGAAAGTAATAAATTGATCATACCAACGTCTGCAGTGACACGGGCTTTGGTTTTTATGGTCTCAATTTAAAGACTAAAAAAACATTTAGCAAAGGTTCAGTGGCTAACTTTTAAAATAAATTTAGGATTGTCGAAGCCGATTCTTGAACCAACTTATTTCTAATCATGGATCAAGCACTCTACCCAAGGAGCTACATGAAAGCTTTAAAAAAGTATATAGAATATTTTCATCAAATATTCTAGCAGGATATTGAAGTGTTTCACTATAAAATGATCGTGTATGCTAGTCAATAAACATATTCATTTTTATATAAATGTTATCTCTCTGGTCATAATTGGCAACTCATACAGTGTATCTCTGAAACAAAATAATGCTGTTGCCTACAAGTTATAAACATTTTACAACATTTACATAGAGTTTCCAAGGAGGTGCCAAATTTTCTTCATCTTTGCTTGGTCGATATCTGATACGGGCGTGCTCTGTTTGTCACCTCATAAAATCATTACAAACAACGATACATTAAGAAGTGGTGTGAATCAGATGTGGATAATCAAAAATTCCAAAGAACTTTTAGACAATTTGAAATCACAAAATTTTACCAAAAGCAACAGCTTAAAAACTCACAACTTTAATTTTCAACTTTATACGCAACCATTTTCTAAGATAGATAACGTCCAGGTTTCTTTAATATCATTGACAGCTGCTTTTGAAAAATAGAACTCCTAAATAAACTTACCTAGTCACTGGTCATTTTCAAAATTATTTTGTTAAAACACTTTCTGATTGCACACACAAGTACTCTGAAGTTGACATCAAGATGCTTGAAAGTCTGATTGACAATATCTTTGTGGTTTCTGGAGACCAGGTCTTTAAAAAATCTATTGGAATTTCATGGAAAAAAATTATGAACTGAAATTTTTGCGAAAATAATATTGAAATAACTTAACAAGTTAGTTCAAAGATTTGATATAAGATGCTTAAAGGTGGTTTTATGAGGTTTGACCATCAAGTCAACATTAAGCTCAGCTTAAAGGTGGCTTAATGGTAGCTTAATGAAGTTCGGACATTAAGCACCTATAAGTTGAAGGTTGATGGTGGCTTAATGTTGGCTTAAAAGAATTAACTTCTTTAAGCACCATTAAGTGTCAGCATTAAGCTTCCATTAAGCGATTGCTTAAAGGTGATCTTTCGTCCTGTGTGAACAAAACAGAGAAAGGCCTAATCTAAATAAATGTCAATATCAATTTACGATGTCTGATTCAAAATGCTGCATTTCATAAGAAAAAAAAAGTTTTTTTTTTCTCTGATTAAATTATATAAGGTACACAAATAGTGTGATTTAACAAAAACAATTTCAAGTAATGGTGCCAGATGTCCTGAATTTCTCTTGTACAGTTAAACATTTTAAAGTTTTCCGCAATAAATATAATAATAGATGTTCACGATTTTCACACATGAATATGGTATCATATAAATACACACAAAATATTTCTCCATTTTATTGTAGCGACCTTATCTGGCTGTATTTTTAAATAAGTCAATTGCAATAAATTGATAAAATTTAGTGTAATTGTACGATTGTTGTTTTTGAGGTCAAATATTAAATTGCAAAGTTGAAAGCATGGTTTACACAAAATTCAAACAATCTTAATTTCAAATAATGTATATGAATTCAACAATTTTCTCGGAAATCAGAATTCTGTTTAAACTCTCTAGTGAATATGTATAGTGAAGTGTATCTTTTATTTTATTCCCTTAGGCTAGCTGCATTTGGATGGAAGCACATCTTCTTGAAATAGAGAATGAGGCTGAACAAAACTTGATTCAAAACAAAGGTATGTTTTTGTGTTTTCTTTCTGTAATTTGAGGATTTTTTGTGTTTTCTTTCTGTAATTTAATGACTGAAAAATAATCCAATAATGTTTTTTACGACAAAATGTAGAAGGATTATCATAAATATTTTTTCTAATTTAAAAACCTACGTTAATTTTGGACAAAAGTAAAAAGGTAGTATGATTTTATGGAAATTTAACATAGCATGGGCGTATATATGTCGATTTTATCTAATTATATATAGCAGGTAGTTTAAACATTGGTCGGACTGAGTACATCTTGAACTAGTCAGTTTGAGTATTCTTAATCCAAGAAATGTAAACTAGATAATAAAAAATTTATTAGAGAAAGAAAATAAAGAAAAATTATAAATGAAATTTACATGTCTTGAGTTCAGTGTACCAACTTAAACTGGTTGATGATGTATTTCATTCGATGGACTTTTTCTCGTCCCACAGTGGGATTCGAAAACTCGACGTAAAGATAAACTCCTTAGCTGGTTCGCGAATAAAATTGACATTTTAACCACTGCGCCCTGTAGGAGTCTCATGGGAGGCTGGGAATACCTTGAGAATAATAATTTTTTTTCACACAGTATATTTGTATATTTTGCAGAATATTATTTCTGTATTTCGGAATGTTTTGGCGGGGGATTTACTCTTTATAGTAACATTTTTGATTTTGGTCTCATTTGAGTAACCAACAGATCCGGGATTAGGGGGAAAATGTGAACTATTTTTAATAAGTGAAAAAAAAATCAAATTCAAATTATGCGCTGGACTACTTGAAGTATTAAAAATTTCAAAAAATAACTTTGTTTGACCATTTCCTAAATGTATATTCAATTATTTTCCGAATATCAACATATTTAACTACATGCATTTTCTTTATTTCTCAACGAAGCACACACGTTTAACTCCATATATTATATCCATATTTTATAAAATTTTAGCCTCTGGGGACAGATGGTGGATTGGGGGAACAGACGAGGAGTCAGAGGGCACGTTCATCTGGGTACATTCTAACACAACATTGAATTACACAAATTGGCTCCAAGGTGAACCTAGTAACGGGGATACAGGTGAAAATTGCCTCGAAATGCTTACTGAAGGTGTTTGGAATGACAAAAACTGTGATTCATCTACTTACTATATTTGTGAAAAAAAGACTTTTCAATGAATGTTATGCATGTAAATACGGGGCACTTACTAGAATTTCTTCTTTAAGGAATATGTTTCATTTTTAATTAATATAACTGATTACATCTTTATGATACTTTTTGAAATTAAATTGAAATAAAAAAAAAATAATATACTGAGCAAAATAAGTTTAGCAATTGATTCTCCATAGGTATTTTAAAAATATTTTTCGAAATTGTTTTATTTTGTTTCTACTTAAAATCAGTATAGAAAAAGGTCACAAAACACGCACCTATTTTTTAACTTGACGTTCGAAACCGCGTCCTCCAACCTACAACCTTATATGGAGCATGAAACGCCGTTGTGTTGTTGTAATTTAATAATGATCCCCATGTGTTGGCTTTGTCATCATAGTCATGGAATGACTCAAAGAGTCTGTTGATTTCACAGTGGATTTAGAAGAGATTCAGTTCAACAATGTTCATGTGGAAAACAATTAATTGTGTATTTTATAGTTAAAATGAATTAATAGAAATGAAAATACTGTCACAACGCAGCACAGTTAAGGTTACGAAGAGGAGGCGGAACCTAATTTGTACGGGAAAACTTGACTATGACATCATACAAATTATACGGTATAAAACATTTTTTTTAAAATACCACAAAATGAGTTGATTTGCTAATTTAATCAGTAAGAAATCATCAAACTGCATTAAAACTTACTACAGGGTGTTGTTTTATCGTTAGTTAAATCCCACATATCAAGTTATGAACAAGTCACTGATCGCAATACACTTGTCAATATGACGTCATTTCTTACAACGTGACGTATTTGGTATGCAGTGAGAGACAGATCAAGTAATATTTTCACAACAAAATATGTATTCTCTTACCGTGGCAGGAGAGGCAGAGATTGACCAATCAAAATCTGACCAATCAAAATCTAAGAAATGAAATTCTGACCATGCGGTGCGTTACTCAGCCTTTTCTCCCATCTACATCCTTGGAGGATGGACGTTGTTTCAAAGTTTGTTATTTATGAGTAAAATTATTTCATTATGTCTTCTATAAGTAAAAGTTCAGTTGTCATTCTTGGACACTCAATTGTGCGTCGTTTTCATGAATTCTTGAAATATGGTGACATAAGGTATTCTGCAAGCCTTGGTCTTGGAGAAACGCATTCCGTTTTGTACAGGGGTGTGGGTGGAAGATAGGTTCGTGATGTAATATCTAAGGATATGGAGAGCGTGTTTGCTTTAGGTCCAGATGTAGTTGTTCTAATGATTGGGGAGAACGATATTAGTCCTAGTACCGACGCTACCTTGTTAGCTGCAGAAATTGAATCTGTGGTATCGATAATGCATCGCCGCTATAAAGTTGCAAAAATAATTGTTTGTAAATTTTTGCCACGATTTAGTGTTCGTTTTGGGTACAATAATATTGCACAAAAAGTAAACACAATATTGATAGATGCATTGCCAGCACTGGGTTATTGCGTATTTTGGGAACATGGGAATTATTTCATTTCTCCCCGTGAAGGAGACTGCAGTCGTAAATTTGTTCACGACGGAGTTCATCTGAACAGTCAGGGGAATGTTCATTTATATAGGAGTATAAGGGGAGCTTTAATTTCAGGGAGAAAATAGATATACATCTAAGTCATAAAAGTTTGTCACCATTTTGTTGCTTTTATTGTTCGTCAATTTCAGATAGATATTCTTTGAAATTATACAACATTTTATTATTTTAACATTACGATAGGCATTGAGGATGTCTAATAATGTATAACAGATTTATCCTTTTTCTGTGAAGAAAATTCGGTTGGAAAAGTATCAGCCAATTTGATTGTTTTGTTGTTAGTTTAATTTTTACAGTACTTTAGGCAGATCCTAAGTACAAGTTTCAGGCAGTTTTTTGTACTTGCCAAGTTTCAACCCATTTGGGTTTTTTCATTTTAGTTTCGGCTTTTACCATGCAGATGGCGATTTTTTCCATCGTTTTTTTATTTGATATCTAGGAATGTATTTTAAAGCATTCCAGATTTATCCTTTTTTTGTGAAGTAAATTCGTTGGAAGAATGTCTGCCAATTAGTTTGTTACGGTATTAGTTGATTACTAAAATATTGTGAATTTTTACAGTACTTTAGGCAAGTCCTAAGTACAAGTTTCAGGCAGTCTTTTGTACTTGCCAAGTTTAAACCCGCTCGGGTTTTTTTCATTGTAGTTTCAGCTTTTACCCTGCAGATGGCGATTTTTTCCAGTACGTACTTACCATTAAACCTAATAACTTCAGAACTAAAAGTCGTAGAGGCATGGGGTCAAGTGCAATGTGACTCTTGACCTTTGACCTTGAAAATTTATTCAAGGTCAAAGTTCAAGGTCATTTCAAATTTTTAAAAATTTTCATTTTTTTCTACATCTTTTTATGTTTTAAGCCATTTTTCGTTTTTTATTATTGTATCTAAGGAGTTAGATATAAAACAAAAAACAAATTCAGAGAAGGTGGAAAGACCTCTTATTGTTCTGTGAACAATAAGTCTCCTAGTTTTTTAATTATTTTTCCGCCATGTGATTTTGAGTTTCAAGATTTATCGAAAAGATTTTAAGTTCATAAGAATGTACTCCATAAAAGATTTTACCAGTTCACCCTGCGTATATTAACTATGACCCCTTTCGGAGTTATTACCCCTTTCGCAAAAAAGCTTGTTATCGCTTCTCCTCGGAAACCGTAAACCGTAGAGAAATGAAACCTTCACTAATGTCTTCGACTAATTTAGTAGACACTTCATTGATTCATTGGGAAAGTATTCATTGACCCCTTCAATGAGTTATTGCCCCTGGAAGTTTTTGAATTTTTCAAATTAAAAATTTTCAAAACGAGAAAACGTAGAGACATGGGACCAACTGCATAAGATTTATTGACCTTTGGTCTTGAAATTTATGGAAAGGTCAAGGTCATTCCAAAACTGTGAAATTAAGCCCTTTTTATATCTCTTTTGTCTTTTAACATACATTTAATGTCTATGCAACATTAATATGTGCTCTGAAAAATGTTTCAAAGATTTCATTCTTGTCCCCTAAGATTAACTTCTTTAAAAGTTATTGCCCCTTGAGCAAAAAACCTTGTTATCGCTACTCCTGTGAATCCGTAGACCGTAGAGACATCAAACCTTCACTACTGTCTTCAGGGTCTTTAGGCTAAAGTTCACTGTATAAGTGCAAAAGGATTCAATGACCCCTTATATGAGTTATTGCCCTTTAAGGATTTAGATGTGTAATAGGCCACTTCCGGTTAAAATGCCGAGGTGTTAGACATCGGCAGTTCTCGGAACATCTATCTTCGTAAACAAAAATGGCGCGTCGTCAAGACTGCCTAGGACGCTATCATAAAACATACACCAAAGGAACAGATTATAACTAATCAAAGGAAAGAATTGATATTATATCAAATAGAAAACACCTTACTAACACTTGGTTTGGCAAAATATGCAGTCAAAACGATGTTATCTTCAAATACACATTACAAGGGTTTTTCCAACTTCTAAAAATAGCACCGATTTCGAAATAACAAACACAGTAACTTTTCATTGTAATTTTGTGATTCTCTTAATATCAGCAAACAGTTTGAGAGAATAATGTATGTTACAATATCAATAGCATGGCATGTATTGTGGAATCTGCAATAAAGCGACAAATGTTGCGTACATACTAGTATAATCCCTACTGTATAATGTACAGTGTAATATGCTGGAAATGTGCAAACCTGTGGCCGTGCTAAATGATTCTCAGGATTTGTGAAATATCAATGATTTCTTTAAAAATAATTGACAAAACAGACTTAAAATATCTAGATACTCATGCAACATACATTAATGACACGTTCAATTATCCATGTTATCATACACGTATGTACGTGAAATATCCGAGATGATCAAAATACTAGTAGATCGATCAGTAAAAAAAATAAAATGTAATTATATGTTAAGAACTTTAGCAAAACAAAAAAAATAATATGAGTTATGAAAACAAAAAAGGTCTAAGGTCAGCGTGAATTTTATCTGTGTGGGGTTTTTATTTATTTATTTTTTGCATGTAGCCGCTTCGGAAAGGGGGGGGGGTTAACATATTCATACATATTTTATTAATTTATAATATGTTGGAGGCACAATATAATTTTTAAAACCCTTTGATCAGTGTTTCGCGATCGGTCAGATATATTTTAGTCTTCATTGTACAGTAAATATAAACTATGAAGAACTTTATACACATGGGAACTGCAAAAATGTAGGTTATTTTGTAAACCCTAACTAGGTCAAGGTCATTGTGAGAGGAGGTCAATTTTCTGAGCAAATGAATCTAATGTGAAATGAGTTGAGTATGACCATCATCTTTTTATTATATATGCTCAAGCTCATTAGTTCGTTCATTACAACCCACCATACCATGAAGAAAAATAAAGGCTTACATTTTTAGGGGGTACATCACTCTGATGTAGAATATAGATAAATATTGTGGATAGAATAATTCTTTTTTGTGATTATATTATCACAAATACATGTCACACAAAATTTACTATGTTTTCTTATTGATCATCCCTACCATATTTTTCTGTGGCAGAATAATATAAACGATTTATAATAAATTTGCTAAAATTGTCACTGAAAGCAGACAAGTTCTCTCGATGACAAGTATTCATATATCATATCTGATGACTTTGAACTAAAAAAAATTGAATGTATACAATCCTAGGGCTTATTTTTACAGTTAAATACATGAAACATTAAACTGTCCTCTGGCTGACTAGAAAAATTACACCTCTACTCTTTGTCCATGAAAGATGCACCACTGGCGAGAGGTTACAGTTACATAAAGAGCACATAAGAAATATGTATGGACAAAATTGCATGAAACTAAGGGAAATATTGCCTAAAGTGTTGTTCATTATAACTATGCTTAATTAAATCATATTCAAGGTCATGGCTATTACACCCTTAATACCTTAACTTCTTTGTACTTACTATTAAACCTTATAACTTGAAAACTATAAGTGGTAAAAGCATGGGGTCAATTGCATTGTGACCCTTGACCTTTGACCTTGAATATTTTGTCAAGGTCAAAGTTCAAGGTCTTTCATTCTTTTAAATTTACATTTTTTCTATGCTTTTAGAGAGTTTTGATTTCTTTTTCAAGGAATTTTTTTTAGGAGTCAGAAATAAAACAAATTTGAAATTCATATAGGTGGAAAGACCTCTTATTGTTCTGTGAACAATAAGTCTCCTAGTTTTAGATAAGTACTTCACCGGTGAAAATATGTATTTGTACTTTCTTAAACAAATTGCCCACAAAACCACTACCAAGTGACTTTAAAAATTTTGTTCATTGTCTAACATGTCTAAAGCTGGGATTTTTTAAACAATTCATTTAAATTTATTTAGTTGAAATATTTTTCTCCTTTTAAATTCTTATCATACTTTTACCATCATTAAAAATGGGCTTTATTTGTTTCAATTTTCATCCAACTTTTAAATTTTTTTTAATTTATTTTTTTTTATTTTTATTGTCTTTTGTTTTTTTTTTTATTAAATATAAATAAACAATGTCATTCATATGATGAGAATCAGCAACAGGATAACCATAATTACCTTAATGTCTAACTTACATGTATATTATAAAAGATATGTTTTTGTATATTCATGCTTTATATAAGGCTCAAAATTATAATTGTTTTATTAATTGTTTAAAATGTATATATATTAAAAAAAAAACATTATGTTAAATTTATGTTACATGTACATATCTTTCAATAACAAAATAATTAATTTTAAAAGGTACATTGTTTTACATAATATTCAAACAGATATGCATGTTCTTTTCAGGAAATATTCAAACAAATTAGCTGCAGAATTGTAGCTCATCAAAAAATTTATTGACCGTTCGATCAATATGATTTTTTTTCGGAGAGCTACAGTTCTGCAGCTACAAACAAATAATAAATTATGACTGTACTTATAATGAATATTCAGTAACCCCCGGTATTTACTTTACACATCACTGATGCAATGCAGAGGGCCGCCTCAGGGAGATCAGGTCAGAGGTGACGTCTTCCAGTAAAATGTGAAATTCGACAAAAACTTAACTAGGAGAAACTCAATGAAAAACATTGGCAAGAAAAAAAGTGAGCTACACGACAAATGCATTTTTTAACTTATTAGATATATAAAAACTGAATTAGTTATCCTTAAGTACCCCTCACTATAAGCGGAACACACCTTGTATTTATCTTCAAATTATATTTTGATTTGCTTCTTGTTACACAGTAATAAAGATGAACATTATTTTTATGATATAAACGGAAAAGTACAGTTACTGGACTTATATAAAACCACTAAATAGAACGTGTATCCTGCCAGAGTTATTGTGTCCCCTAACTCAGGCATCAGGGTCCTCTAAAACATTTTATAAAAATTCCCATAGTTAATTTTTTATACTATTTTCTTGAATTTTATACATGGGAAATTGTTTTTAAGATTTCAAATAATATTAAACTGCATTTTTAGAAAGGCAAACACAAATAACTTATTTTATATGTAAAAATGTTGCGCTTACACTATCACAACACAAAGTACATACGGGTAATTGTATGCAAAATAAATAAATAAAAAAATGAAATAATTTAGTACTCATCATGGTGTGTCATGTTGAACCTTTGTAATAGAAATTCATAAAAAATGGCTGACAGGGGAAAAGGAGCATGTTGACGCACTTGTCGGGAGTTCCGATCAAATGGCACATAGAGGGAAAGGTGATTACTGATTTCACATAAAATATGATACCAATAATTAAAAAAGTGTAAATTTTATTTGTTATGACGTATTTTGTAACTTAGAATTATTAAAATAGCTTTTGATTGTAGATTTTTTTTTCTGCATGCATAAATTACGTCACATTCGCACTCATTTACAAACTGCGCGGAGTTTCCAGAAAGGGATGGATTTAGGGTACTGGCGGATTATGGGGATTTGGCGATACTCAGTAATACAAATACAGAAATACTAACAAAAGAATATTTGACATACAACTATGAATGTATAAAACAGAGAATAATGTGTCCCATATTTTTAAAATCAAAGCTCGGGGGCCATAAAACTTTGATGAGCCCACTCTTGATCTCAATCTCACTTTTTCACTATTACAGGTTAGTAATTCCAAAGTAAAAAGTGAAATTAGGATCAAAAGTGAGATTATCAAATTTTGTTATACCTTTAAAATTTTGTTCCTATACAAATCCTTACGGAAAAAAGTCTAACATTTAATGTTTTTTTCTGAGGGGGCATAAAATAAGCGATGTTGGACCGCTGAGTGAGATGTTGGACCGCTCGGAGAGATGTTGGACCGCTTACGTCACAGAATTTGCAGAGCTTAATCTCATTTTCATTCTTATGTGTTGAACAGTGACAAAGCTAATGTAATATTACGGAATATATATTGTACAAAATACATGTAAGTCAAAAAATATAAAATAAAATGAAAGGAATAACAAAACATTTATTGACAGAGTTCTCAGGCAACATGCGTTTTGTCGGATCCTCGAACCAAACTGTCTGCCTTCGGTTTAACGGCCTCAGGCAGACAGTTTGGTTCTTAATATAAGTCAGACAAAACGCATGTTGCCCTCGAACTCAGTCAATAAATGTATATTTTGGCCCAGGAGCTTGAATACAACATTTATCATTGATGCAATTAGCATTTAATACAAAAAAGATCCTCTCTTGTGTTTGATAATTTTTTGCCGTTTTTAAGAAGGCCTAAATAGACAATTTAAAGAAAAGTAATATTGCATTCTAAAATTTTACATCCCAAATAGTGGATTAGGGGATTCGTGATTTTACTTTAGTGATGGATTTCGTCCAGTAATCAAAATCTATACATGTATATAACTCTAAGGTTTTAAATATAAGTATCAAATACTTAAAATAAGTGTAACAAGAGGACAAAAACTTATATTATAATAATTAAAATTTATAAATATTACGGAAATGCCACAGACGATATTTGAAATTTAACATTCTGTTTTAATTCCTGTTAATTGAATTTTTAAAAAGGAATATTTCACCTTTTACTTAAATGAATGTGTTACGCGACTGAAGATGAAAACGTTTTTAAAATATAGGAAAATTATTTACAGGTTTCATAGACAGGTTAATACAGGAAAACAAATTTGTAATCTAAGGGACCAGGGAAATGGCAGGTAGAAGTTTTTTAATTCTCGGGAGTCCTCTTATAGTGCACGTTGATAATTATTTAAACTTTGAAAAATTGAATTCATGTCAATGATGTATTCAACTTAATTAAATAAACATCTTCAGAATGTTGAAAGAGACAGAAAGGCATATCTAAAAAAATATTGTTTGATATTTCCAATATTACAAGGCATAGGCCCCTATTTATAAATGTCTAGCTGGAAAACAAATCATTCCTTATTATCAATCGAAAGTTTTAACATAGACTTCCCAATTTCTTCAAAGTTTATTTTCAAATTTCTTATATATCATTATTCCTTTCCTTGTGAATTCTTTATTATCAGAAACCACAGAATAATATTTTTTATTACATGTATAAATAAATATGTGAACTAGATTAAAAGCTCTAAAATATATACACATGTATGTCTGTATTTAATTAACAGTATGGATTTTTTTTCATGGTCTAAATATTAATATTAATTAATCTCCAACATCTTTGTTATGACGTTTCTGCGTATATTTCATATGCGGTATGATCGTAAATTCTAGAGGAGTTCCGACAGAGTATTCGATGAAGTGGTCAATAGCATGCAGCGAAATAGATACGCCCCGCCGTTTTTCGCCTTTTTTCAACAGTGATAACACCAATCGGAATTATAAAATAAGGAACGATGTTATCACTCTCTACATATTTTTTTTTATTTCACGAATATCAAAAATAGAGGTGTGAAAAAAATCCGCTTTTGTGATAACTTACGATGAGGTTTGGAACTCAATAGAGACTATTATTGTGCCTCAGACCCCTCTATGTTGACCCCTATTTCGTTTAATTGCGTATTTCAATTCAAGCAGAACCCATCTTTCTGTTTTGTTTCAGTATATACTGTTCTGTTCTTTCCCTTGCATGAGATCGACGTCCAAATACCCTTGCCTGCGATCGACGTTTAATACACCATGATACACATACATGCAGGTCACGATCTCTGCCTTAGCCAGTTGTTTATAATTTACCCTCGATAAAATAGTTCGGAGCGTAGGGATACTTCATATGTTAAATTCACTCAGGAACTTGTATTTAGTATTTGTAAATCTTTAAAAACTCTACTTATTGCTTGGAAATCACATTAAATACTTTGTAGATCTTGTTTTGTGACCGAAATGCTGATTTCAATGCATGTATAATCAGAGAACTATATTTCTCGGGGAACTGATAAAAATTAACGTTTTAATATTTTTTATCAATCTTGCAAGTGATATTGTTTACATATTAGCAACCTATCTCTGATTTGATTCTTGCTCTCTGAGGTAGCATATTTCAACAATAAGAGTACTGAAGTGTCCCTAAGTGCGAAGATAAATAAAAAATTGCAAAAAGTAGTGATCACAGGGTTCCGCCATTAAGCTGTGGAGTAGCATACGAGGTAGACTTACGTCACCTCGAAAAATCACTTGTAGTATCTATGAGTAGGAATTTTTATAAAGGGTTAGTTTTAAATAATTCCGACGTGATTCTGTCGTGCACATTTTGATGTAAATATCATGTCATAATCAAGTGGAATCAATGCACACAACTGAAGAAGATAAGATGTGTTTGTGAAACTATGCGCCCGGCGGCAGCAAATTTCGAAAAAAAAGTTTATTTTAAGCAGGCACGTAGCAACATGGGGGGGGTATGCCTACCTACTTTTTTTTGCCAACACTACTTTTACAATTGGAAATATGTATTGAAAGGCTGTTTGGCCCCCCTCCCCACTTGCCACTTAAGTAAATTAAGGTAGGTCCGTACTTTATTTTTTGATTTTAATATCTTGAATAAGTCATAATCTAACTAAAACGCCCCAAAAAACATATCTTTGCAGATTTATTTTCATGCAACATGTCTCGGAGTATATACCTCTAAAACACAACAGCAAAAATTCAACATATAGAATATAGTGTTACATCATATTTTATTTAGCTATGTTATGTACAAAATCACATCCAATTATTGTTAAAACTTAGGAAAATCATAAATATTCATTTGTCAAGAAAATATTTGAAATTTCTATTTGAAAACACTAAATAATTGATTTTGATTCTGTCAAAATCTCTCAGAGAAAAAGCTTGAAATATCTTTATTTTAATTCTTTCTCAAAATATTATATGTTTATATACTATTTTTCCTTCACAATTATTTAGAATTATATCTTAGGTTAGCAAAAAAAACCATACTTTATTATGGTTGACCAGAAAACTTTTTACAAAATAGCCTTTTGAACACATATACCCCCATTTTT